CCCCAAAACCCCAAAACCCCAAAACCCCATAAAGCATGATAGTAGTAAAGATCAAGGATAATATGAATCTGTAGAAGTTAAATGTGAAATATATCTCAAACAGAAGGAGATGAGTGATTTTTGAATATTTCAACCAGTTTTAGGGGCATTGTTATTAATCGAGATGACTAATGCTCCGTCTTGAGAATTCTTAATAAGGTTTAGTTGGAGGTATTAGATCAATTCTTATTTTGTGAGTCCAAGATCCTTCATCAACTTAGCGTAAGCTTCAGCCTGATTAGTTTGGATCTCTTAGAAGGTCTAGGTGTTAGCCTTGGTAATGAGGGTCTTAGCACTAGCTGCACCTTTGGCATCATTGACAATTACATTCTTTTTAACTTCAGAAACTTCAATAAGCATTTATTAGGTAATGTTATTCTTAACTCTCTCTGCCTCAGCTCTGAGAATGCTTTGCTTGGTAACTTCTGTATCTTAAATTGATTGCTCGAATTTATCTGGCAAATCAATGGATCTAAGTTGAAAGAAGACGACCTCGCATTTAAGATCCTTCTATAGTCTCTTGTTCAGAGCATCTCTCATTTTAGCTGAAATGTCTTGTCTAATTGTAAAGAAGTCGATGGCTCTGTATTAAGTACCAACATCACTGATGGAATCAAGAGCAATTCTTAGAAGTACTGTTTTCAAGTTATCTCCAAAGGTATTATAAATCTCATAAATGCTAGCTGGTAGCACTCTATACTAGAAGCTGATTTCTAGATCAAGTTTCAAGCCGTCCTTAGTTCTGCAGCTGATAAGTGGAAGAGTAGCACCACTTTGCTTGGAGAATTCTAGAGTAGTTATGGTTAAATCATAGCCAATAAAGTCATGTCCAAGACCAATGAAATGGATACCAGATTCGTATGTTTTGTTTTCAACAGACTTGAAAATTGAGGAGTAGTTTAAGCCTACTTGGTTATAAGCTAAGCTATCAATTGAGAAATAGAGGAAGATGCTAAGTACGAATACACCAAATCCTAGGGAACCTAACAATAATTCTTTTGCCATTTATTTTGTTTTAATAATTATACGTATCTTCATCAGCCTCTATTTTATGATTTCATATCTACGGGGTTTTGGGGTTTTGGGGTTTTGGGGTTTTGGGGTTTTGGGG